GAATGTCCTGCCTCCTAACTTTGTAGCTATAATTTTCCACCCAGTCTTTTTGGAGAATTCGTTTTTACAATATTATTGAAATTTTATCACAGATTATTCCTGATTTTCACTGGACAGAGTTTATAGATTTTGTCTCAGATTTGTGATTTCATTGTTTAAGGTGGTCCAATTTCATCATACTGATGATTTCATCATACTGATTTCATCATACAGATTTCCAGTTTGTGCTGCTTAAAGGAGAGTTTTGCAGATCCTGGTTTCATTGATTATATATCCAGCTGTGAGTGGGGAAGAACTAGGCCTGTGATCAAAAGCCTTGTAAAGAAAGAATTATTAGTTATTTGTTTTTGGTGATACTTTAGGGCTCTACAGGGCAGTTAAAGGTAGTAATTTTTGTTGAAGATGGATGTCCACATACATTCTGCTTTCAGGCAAATATATTCTTTTTTTCTGATAAAGTTTATCAAATTTCAAGTGAAAACAAGCTAAAAGCAATTCTACTTATTCTGTTCTAATTAGGTAAATTAGTTAAATAGTTTAAGAGGAACTGGGCAGGTAGAGCATATGGCACAGAAACAGTTATCTCTTCTGGTTTAATGAGGAAGGAAAGTAATGAAATGGGAAAAAAGAGATTGCAGTGTACCATGAAGACCCTGTTCCTGCTGAGCTCAGGATCATTGACGTGTACTAGATAAATGAATTCCCGTGCTCACCTTGTGTGTTGTGTGTGCAGAGAGCATGCAGTGACGAGTGGTGAAAATACCCTCCAAACAGGGAGAGTGTTGGGGACTGCCACTAGCGGTGGCACTGCAGCCCTGCAGTATTGTACACAGTTCTGTCTACTGCAGCTTGAGCTAGAAGAGTGCCGCCTGCGTGTGTGACTCTCAACATGAGAGAAAGAGAATTTGCTTAAAATATAGAAACTTAGCTTTTAATCCGCTAACATTACCCAAAATGAATCTGCTTCACACCAGCTTTGATTCCAGCTCTTATTTATTTTAAATAAATGAATACCTCTATAAATAAATGCCCTTTATTGGGTAATCTAGTCTTTATTAGGTCATACAGAAGTAAATACAACCCTGTAAAAATAAACAAAAGGCTTTGCACATGAAGAAATGAGGAAGAAGTTTGTAGGTATCCCAGTGAATTCAAGAGTGGGTTGTTTTATGTTCTTAATTGCTGAGAACACTTGCAAGACAATAGGATCTTCTGTTTCTGAATTGACATTGTCCAAGTGCCTATATTCAATCTGGGATATAAAATCCTTTGACAAGGTAGTAAAATTGGAAATAGTTATGATCTAACCAAAGATTATATTTTCGCATGATGACTAATTTCTAACAACAGATAAACTTGGAAAACACAAGCCTCCTGGATCCATATTATCTTTGATAATAAAAAAAAAAAAAGTAAGAAAAGTAGAATCAAAATGTCAATAAAAATATGCTTTTAAAAAGACTACATCTTTGGTTAGAAATGAGTTTTACTATTTTTTTTCCCTTTGAGAGGGCATTATAGATTCAAGAGAAAGGCAGAAAAGATGTATATGAAATTACCAAGAGTACATGAAATGCACATTTGAGTGTGACTTCCAGATATGTTCTGAAGACTTTATTATCTTATATGAATATAGTTAATTTCACTTTTTGGAGTACCCAGTGAGTCTTCTCACAGCTTATGTTAAACAAAGATCTAAGTCTTTGTGTGAATGAGTTTTCTGACTTGTCATAGATTTATATCTTTATGGGATTTCACTGATACAGTTTGCAATCTTCAACCTTTATTTTAGGATAGATGTAGCACAATCTATACAGAATGCTAAATATACTGAAATTTGTGAATGTAACAGAATGGAAAAGAAGAAATATTAGAGCAAGAAAACAATTTGATTTTCGTGTAAGCATCTTTGAGTGTTTTTACAAAATGTTTTTGTAGGTGTTTCCTAAAGGAGTATTTCCATTTCTGGCAGAAAACCTAGTCTCCTGAAATTTTTTTTTTGTTTGTTTTAATTGAAGGGATTGAATAGGAATGTGGTGTTTGGTTTAGTGAAAATCAGCAAGCATGTTGGATTAATTGGTTGGTACAAAGAAGAGTATATAGCTAGACTATCATCACTTTTTCTGCTTTATGCTGCTCATGTAGCCATTAATCCTTACTCTTTCAGACTTTCCAGTTACTTACTTGTAGTAATCAGTCCAACATAATTGAAAGGGTGGGAAGCTATCATGCATGGGCTGTAAATTATTCCTCTTTGTACTTATCACCTTAAGGCACAGATTTCAGTTCACTGAGAAGGAAAAGCTGTTTAGAAAAAACAGTGTTCATATTAAGCATTTTGCTTGGAATCTTAACCAAGATAGAGAGACATTTCTGATTTCTGCCCAAACAGAAATTTTACTCTATCTGCATGTTTTTTGATGGCAGAGCTATGCTCTTAATAAGTTTGAAAGGGTGAAATTCCTTGTTGATGTACCTGTTTTATTACAAACTGCAGCATAAGTTCAGTTACTTTCGCAAACTTGTCTTTTTTGAGTCTGTTGAACTCACAGGGTAGGTGTACTATGGAATAGTAAAGTATGGTTTTATGAGTGCTAGCTCTCAGACTCTTTGTTCATTTGATATTGCTAAACTCTTACTTTCTTTGGGGTATATATATGTGTGTGTGTGTGTATATATGTATATATATACATGTAATAGTAATACCTGTAGTAGTACACATGTAGAAGTACACATGCAGTAGTAATAGATAATTTGACAACAGAAAAACAAAAATAAACAGATATCAGTCTAAGAATTAGAGGAATTCAGAGTTCTGTGGTTTGCATGGGCACTGTAAAATTATCTGAAATCTAGGAACACACTGTATTCATTAACACTCAGAAAAGTACCTTTTAGGAGTTCAATAAGTTCTTGAAAGTATTTGTAGGAGGCTTCAGCAGATCCAGTGGATGTTTTGATGCATTGCATGTTCACTAACAGCTAGAAGATACTGTAGCCACACGTAGGTAGGGATCAGATATCTAATCCAGTGCACAAAGGATAACTTCTATGGTGCACCTTGAAAACTGAAAAGCTGTAATTAGAGAAACTGCCTTGGCATAAAAGATTCACCAGGATGACCTACTTAAGAGGATCATCATGTACCTAAAGTCAGTCTACGGTTTGCAGTCATAAATATTACATCAGGGCTTTTTTAAGGCTGCATTTCTCTTTCAGTAAATGCTTCAGTTCCCATTAATAGTTGAATAGTGCCATCACATCTGCTTTCTTTGAGAAACATTCAAAGTGTATGAAATTATTCTAGAGGAAGATATTAAAAATAAAGACATTTTTTACTGTAGGTGAAATTCTATTATTAAAAAGCTAGGGAAATATATTTTGGCTTCTAAAGTCATGTCTATGTGATTATAGGCTTCATTTTCTTATATCAGAAGTACATTACATCTTTAGTTTATCTAATACAGTCTGTAGCTTTTCCTATCCCTCAAAATACTATCAGCTATAAAACTCATGTCTGGAGTATAGTTCTGGAGACAATATATGCAACAGAATTAATAAAGGACAACTTATTAAAGCCATTCATTGGTCTTCTCCCATAAAGCTCTGAGGGCAGTTCACACTGCCTTAGAAAGGGTAATAAGATTAACTTCAGAAATTTCCATCTGTTTTTACTCCTGCATCATATCTCACTGCCTCCTTAGCTGTGTTACTGCAGTTTTTCTCAGCTAATGTTGTAAAATAGATCATTAAAATGATCACGGTTAAAAATAATCTTTTCCCCAAGCTGGAAGCAGGCAGTGTTTTCTTAGAAGCACTGCTAAAAAATGGTAGCCTGCTTTCTCCCAGAGGGGAGGCTTCTACAGTCTGTTGCAGTGTCCAGGTTCACACACACACACACACTCCCTTAACTTCAGACACATGAGTAATGGTGCAATTTTCTAATTGGTTTTAGCTGTTCTAGCTACAAACTGTTGCCAAAGAATGATCCTGCATTTCTTCCTTCTGCTTGCTTGCATGCTGCTGCCATTTCTTTCTGCCGCCCCTAGAGATAGTGCAGATGTGTGGTGAGCAAATTGTCTTGCAGACATGCTTCACGGAAAACTGCGCGGAGAGGAAAGGAATGGTTAGTCTGGAGTCCAACGAGCAAACTGCTCTTGGCTCATTGTGTCTGCATTTTGACCTTGGGATTGCACAAGATGGAAAGATACAGCAGGGGAGCAGGGAGATGAACTGAGGCAAAATATCTGGGTGCTTTCATGCAGCTTGGTTAGTGGGAGCACTTGGAGATGCATTAGCTGATAATATACAGCTGCTCCACTCTGTTCCTACTGTGAGGACGGATAGGGAAAGGAATAAAGACAGGGAAAGGAGTGTGTCTGCCCATGACTTAGGTATTGGGAATCTCCAAAGTGTGAAAGTGCCAGAACTTCTGCCCACACAGCTCCCCACACTGAATTTTTTAGGGTGGGATTTCATATTGCTAAGACTTGGTGTGAATGCACTGTGAATGCACTGGCCAAATTCTGCCAGCTTTGAGACACTGATAGATTGGAGGAATACTAACTTCCTGTAAGATTTGTGTTAAATAGAAGGCTAGAGAGATATTTCATGGTAACCCACTGGTTTAGCAGTCATAAAGGTTAGTATTTGTAACCCTTTCTTACAAGACAGGGAGTTGAAATGGAAAAGGACACTGCAGAGTGAATATGATGTATGATGCATGGAATTGTTTGGTTTCTTTCCGAATAAAACCTGGTATCCAACACTAGAGAGTAAAAAATTGAATTCTGAAGATTGATAGAGATATTCAATTTATCTTCAGCATGTTTTCCTTATAACCTGTGGTATTTGTATCTCTGAAGAAAATACATGCTTTTATATTCAAAACCCTGCATTCTAATGTCCATTGCTTAAATAAAGTTTGGGATGAGTCTTTATCAGTGTGAAAGGGCATCTAAAAACAGTGAAGTGTAAGTTTTTTCTCTTGTATTTTACAGGTTGAATATTACAACTTCACTTATCCCCGGGATTTCTCCACTGATGTCCAACACACAATAGACATTCCAAACAATATTTGGCAGGTGCCTTTGCAGCTCAACAGCAGTCCTTTGATACAGAATGGAGGACACATACAAAGACAGGACTTCACTAGTGAAAGGGGCCAAAGATATTGCCAAAGAGGTGAAGAGGCAAGCAGTGAAAAAAGTGAATAAAGCTGTTGACAAAGCCCAGGATGGCTACACACAGAGGTCCTACAATAGATTCCAGGATGAGGAAGATGATGATGATTACTATGGCCAAGGAGGAAATTATGGTGTAGAAGCTAATGATGATGAAGGATCAAGTGAAGCAACTGAAGGACATGATGAAGATGATGAAATTTATGAAGGGGAGTATCAGGGAATCCCCAGCATGGGGCAGGGTAAGGATGACATGGTGGCCTTAGGTCAGTCCATGCGTGATGAATACAAGGATCGTCATGAACTGGAAACAGAGAGGAAAGCTGATGAAGAAGAGCTAGCACAGCAATATGAATTGATAATACAAGAATGTGGCCATGGTCGTTTCCAGTGGGCCCTCTTCTTTGTGTTAGGAATGGCCCTAATGGCTGATGGGGTTGAAGTGTTTGTGGTTGGATTTGTGTTGCCCAGCGCTGAAACAGATATGTGTATACCCAATTCTGGATCAGGATGGCTTGGTAAGTAAAGTCTTCATTCTGTCTTTTTGCTATTAAAAGTTTTGCTTACACTAAATATAGTAACACTAAATATGTATTTGTCAACACAAAAGCTTATATAAAAATAGGTTCATCTTGAATATAAATAAAATTATTTAAATTAAAATTAACTGTATTCATAATTTAATTTTGCAATTTTGTTTTTTAGATTACTATTTTCTTAGCCAATAAATAAATCACTAAAAAGAAAAACTGCGCTGTAAAACATAACAAAGAGAGAGATAGATTTTGTTCTTATATACAAGAGTAGATGTCCAAATTAACTAATCTCAGAAAAAGCAAAACCACAAAACCAGGAAACAGATGGAGAATTTGAGTCCTGCTGAAATGATATAGGTGTAATAAAGAGCAGATGATACAGCTGTATGGCAACACTTTCACATATGAACCTTTGCAATGATGAGCTGAAATTCAGTCTGGAAAATTAAAAAAAAATACAGTGAAAATGCTATCTATTATAGCCTTTCCCTCTTTTTGTCTCTGTAGTCTCATTTTAGCAATGACTGTTCTCTAGCCATCCTAAAAGAGTACTGTTTACTTAGGGTCAGGGTGACAGAAGAATGAGCAAGAGTCTGGGATGTGTTTTCTGTGTCCATTCTGTTGATGGGGATGAGCTGTGTCTCATCACCTTGCCTGTTTCCTCCTGTGGTGTGGGAACAGGCAGTCTGAGACAGACTTCTGTGGTTTGGTGAGAGCAGCAGTGCTGCAATCAGGCCCATGCTTTCTTCCCTGGACATGCCTGGGCACAGCAGGTAAAACAAGGCTCTCATGGGGCTGGGCTGTGGAGAAAAGTTCTAGAAATGGTTCCCCAAGGAAGAGCGTAGGCAGGAGCCTGGGAAATTGTGACAGAGCAGGAAATTGAATGTATATGTATAGATGAGTGGCTTGGGCCTGAATTCTATCACACAAAAGGAGGACTTCTTATAAGAAATTTAGAATCCTTTGTTTTCTAGCAGATGTTCTGCTGTACCCTCCTTCTTTGCAGCACATGGTTATATAGCAACAGATCTCATTTTAGCTTTGCTCAGTTTCCTGACATATTGATACCAGCAGTTTGGCTCTGTGGGTTTCAATACTGTGGACTGCAGTCTCCCCCCCAGTTATAGCTCTAAGCCTCCCTCCAGGTGACAGGAGCATAAGTGGAAACAGGTGAGGAGTTCTCGGGTGACTGTGTTCCTTGTGTTATTCTTTGCCATTTAATCATTTGTTATTAGAACTACTTTGTTTATATATACAGTGCAGGGATTAAACTTAAAGTGGATGGAAATGAATTACAAAAGTTTTAATGGTTAAAGAGGCTGAATGCCTATAATCTGTTTTGTACTGCTTGTTTACATGAAATGCCAATATTGTATGTGTCATGCTTGGACCTGTGAGCTTTCAAGTCTACTTCTTAAAGAAAGATGAGAAGCAAAAACAATTCAAACCTATATCACTAGATGAATGTCAATGAGTCAGTGCAGACAATGTCATACAATGCATCTTAGAAAAGTAACGAATGCCCAGCTTGCTTTTTTGACATGACTTTTCTCATCTAGTCCTTGGCAGTTGGTGATATCTTTAAAATCTGCACCTCACTTTTTATAATTTTTGCAATTTTTATAATTTTTACACTCTCAGAAAAGAAAATATCTCACCCCCATTTTTAAATTACTGATAAATCTGCTTGTTTTACCCCATGCACCCTTTTCAACAAATGAAATAATCAAAGTTGTCTTTGTTCTTCAGGATGATGAATTATAAGGGTAATTCCCAAATCTCCATGATTCATATTAAATTGTATTTTCTACAAATAATATTATTTCTAAACAACTGCATTAAGCATTATGGAGGTGTTTGGAATTGGGAATGGGGAGTATTTTCCACACAGTCGTAGGGGCCATGAGTACTCATATCCACCTGTTGGGGTCTGACCCACGTCAAGAAGGCTGAGGATCTCCCTGTCATTAGAGTTGTTATGATGCTGTCTTCAGATGTACTGGAATAACTCTGTAAAAGTTTATCTAAATTCAGTATGGAAGCTGTTACCTCATAGTTACAAGTGTGTGTGTGTGTGTGTGTGTGTGTGTGTGTGTGTGTGTGTGCAAAAATGATGCTTGTTGGCTCTGGAAAACTCAGTTCTGCAAATAATATATTCTCATTCCCAAAATATAGAAATTGTAATGTATCTTCCTTTTACAATAATATAAAACTAGCCTCTCTGTTGTGGCATTAACAAACTAATAATTATGTACTAAAAGATGAACATACAAAAGCAGGAAAGAATGGAAATCAGCAGTTTCTTTCCCAGCGTGTATTGAAGGCATTGTAACATATGACTATTTAATCAAGAATTTCACTAAATAAAATGTATTTCTTGCCCATTGTTACTAGAAATATATCATAAGCTGCAAGTCACCAGTACACCAATGTAAGTATGGCTTATAAACAGAGCAGATATACTGCTTGTAGACAGCATAACCTTAATTCCACTGATAGAAAATATTCATTGTAGCAGTGAATGCTGAGTGAAAGCATTTTTATATTGTCATAGCTGGGCCCTCACAGCCATGAATTTCAATTACTTTGCACTTGTGATTTCAACTTATAATTACAACCTAAACGAGGTCTTCCAGACAGGCATAATTCTTTTTTTATGATTGGAATTCCATAATCCAGAGGATTCTAATGTTGTTAGAATACTAAAGTCACAGGACTAATGCAAAGAGTTAAAAGGTAAAATCAGTACACATACACAATACTTACTTATTTGTCAGGCAATTTTCTAGACTGTCAAGATACACAATAATAACATTTTAATTTGTCTTTGAAATAGCATTCATTGATTTTGTTGTAAATACTGATTTCTCATATATCATGCCATGCCAGTTTACTAGGGAACTTGAGCTAATTAAAAGCATGTGATGATATTTATTGAGCCTTCTTGTGGCATTTTTTATTTTTTAAAAAATTCACTTTCACAAGAAAAATTTCCCCAAATCCTTCCATATTGGCCCTTGAATGATTACTGAGATTACTTTTTATTGATCACCACCAATGTCTCAGAGCCTATAAAGTCACATAATGAGTGTGCTGATGTCATGAACCAGCTTCAAGGCGTCTTTTGAATTAAATAATAAGCCAATATATTTTCATCTCAAGTAAGTGGTCTTCTTAAGGAAAGGGCATAAATTATCCAAGATTATAGTGGGTTGTCACTAAGCATGAGAGAGAAGTGTGTATATATATATAAATATATGCTGCTGTATATAGAACTTGGCTTCGTTAACTTTGTTAACTCCTGCATATAAGTGGGCTCACCCTGGCCTCTTGGTTCTGGCATCGATGAGGCAAGACTGTACCTTCATGAGACAGGTTCTAGGCTCAGGCCTAAAGATGTTATTTCAACTCTTTTCCTGATTGCATCTTATCTCTTTGGTTTTATCAGTTAGAAAGACTGATTTTAGGTTAATTCCCTGGGCTCTTTTGGGTATGCTTTTCTACCCAGTTTTTCTGTGTCTTTGCAGTCATATTGGTCAATGCATTCAGATTGGTCTTAAGTTTTATTGTGGTGTTGTTTTTTTTGTTTTGTGCTTGCTTTTTGGTATTTGTTTTGTTCATTTTTTTGTTCATTTTTGGGAGCGTTTTTGTCGGGATTTTTGTTTGTTTGTTTTTGTTGTTTTTTTTTGTTGTTATTTTTTGTGGGTTCTTTTGGTTTTTTTTCTTTAATGTAACGTAATGTTTTTTTATGATGGCCTTTTCTTTCCTCAGCATCTGTGTCTCCAAAATACTGGAACATTGTTTTTCCTAATCTGGGCAAAGCTAGTCTTTCCCAGCTATATCTGTTCAGGATGCCATGCTCCTGACCATCCTGTCACTGCTTCTCCCACAGGACCTGTAAGGGCTCTCCCTTGTGTGTGCAGGACCAGCTGCACTGCTGTCACCACTGTTAGCAGTGCATACATGACTCCTGCTCAGCTGGTCACGAGGCATCAGCTGCACCTTTTTCAGACAGACACTTCCATCCTTTATTTGTACTTTATCATGGAATCATAGAATAGTTTGAATTGGAAAGGACCTTTAAAAGGTCATGCAATCCAAGCCCTCTTGCAATATGCAGGGACAGCTTTAACTAAATCAGGTTGCTCAGAGGCCCATCCACCTCAATAGCAGAAAAAATCTGCACATCTCAGAATTTAGTGATTATTTTTAAATATTTTATTTTTATTTTTTGCATGCGAACCATTAGGCACTCTTATTCACTGATTGATATTCTTTACAGAGGTCAATTGCTCCTCAATGATTTCTAATAGTCTCCATGGTCTGTTTTGAATTCCTATATAATCCTTTGTATTAAGTGTAGACTGAACGAACTCTTGAGGGAGAACAATCTTCTCCTCTGTTCTGTTTTACCATTGTGTTAATCTATGGGTTAGTCAAGACTTTGATACAGGTTCATGGACAGTACAGTTACAAACCTAGAAATAATTTGTTTATGTAGAATACATTCTTAGCTGGTAAGTCAGCCTACAGGCATTTTCTTCTATCTAAAAAATTCAAGTACTGTAAATCACTGAACTGATAATGCTGGTACTGTAAATCACTGGACTGATAATGCTGGTACTGTGAATATGAATAGCAACAAACAGCTTACCTTGGAAATAAAACAATTTTTTGAAACCTCACATTTTGATCTTTTTCTTTTCTATTATTTTCTCAATTGATTAATCAAATATTGTGCAGTATTTGTAGAAAGAAGAATATCATTGACATAACTGTCTTTTGGGCAGAGGTAGCTCTCAGTCTGGGACATCAGCCTGCCAATTCTGCATTGATCACTAATTTGCACATTAGCTGCTTTAATAACAGTGCTTCCCTTGTCTACTCTGTCTAAAAACCTACCAAACATAACCAGTGTAATTCTAATCCATACAGTTCTTTCTCTTTACAGGGGAAGAAGTGCCCTCCAGAGGTTTGGTAGC